CCTGAGCACCACCTTCCTGTCCCCCGGGCTGTCACCCAGCCTGAGCACCACCCTCCTGTCCTCACCACACATGCTTCTGTGCAGTCTGCTGCAGGTTCTCTCTACTGACTCCAACCCCAGGCAAGTGCAGGTCTGGTTTTCTGGCACTAGGTGGTGGGATTTTGAGATTTATCCGTGTGTAGCATGGCTCAGGGGGCCCTTCCTGTTTGTTACTGGAGAGGAACGCTATTTGCTTTTGGATAGAATTAGATTTAATTCACATTCTATAAATTTCATTCTTCTCGAGTATGCACCTCAGCGGTCCCTCGAGCATTCGCAAAGTTACATGGCCATCACCGCTGTCTCCTTCTGGGACATTTTCATTGCCCACAAAGAAATGCCGAGCCCGGAGCAGCCCGCTCCCCATCCGCTTCTCCCCTGGCCCAGCCCTCTCTTGCTCAACCCTGACAGCCACTGACCTGCTTCATGTCCCTAATGATTGATTCTTCTGTTCTACACATTTCTTATAAATGGATGCATGACGTTTTTCCTCTGGGTTCTTGCACTTAATATAATATTTTTAAAATTCACGTGTATGGGAGCATCAATTAAAAATTTCATTTTATAATCAAATAATACGGCATTGTATGCACGTACTACCGCTTCATCCACATCTGTTAGCAGATGTTTCAGCTTTTCTCGTTCTTTTCAATATTATAAATGGTGCTTCTCTGCGTATTCACATTCAGGTTTTTGTATGAACATGTTTTCAGACCTCAGAAGTCAAACTACTGACATATTACAACTCTAAGTTCACAGTTTTGTGGAATTGCCAAACTGTTTCCTGAAGCAGTGGCACCTGTTGATAGCCCTGTCATCGCCACTGAGTATTGTGCATCTTTTTTAAATTTTAGACATCCTAGTAATTACAGTCATTCGCTTTGTATAGCGCTTTTGATTTCATTTCGCTCATGACCAAGGCGCATATTTTGCTGGTAACAGTGTGTGACCTGAGACTCTTCCTTAACTACACGTGCCTCCTTTCTCCCCGAGAAGATGAGGCAGTTCAGCAGCGCTGAGGACAGAAAGCCATTCACAGATGGCCCCTGTCCTCAGGTGACCTGGGACATCAGCGCGGGCAGGCCTTTGGAAGACCGAGTGCCCAAACTGTAAACCTGTCGGTGGATCGCCAAGTGCCACCCTGCAATTAGACTGAAGGCCGAGGTTTCCGCTGAGAAGAAGACAGGTTCTGTGGGCGTCTTTTGAAAGGAAGTCAGGCTCCCCTGCCA